TAATATTGTCAAAAATCTTCCAGTCTTGCAAGACTTATGTTTTTCCATTTTGGTAAATGATTCAGCAGCGTTGTAAAGTGGCAGCTTGTGTCACCTCAGAACTAACTGAACCTGATTTTATCTCACAAGGATATGGGAACTGTTATCCATGTATCACTACTGGTCCCAGCAATCTGTCCAGTGTTTATGTTCTCTGTTTTTGTCTCTGCTATCTTTCTCTTTCGTCTTTACCCTCACTCCAGATGGCAGATGGCTGCCCTCCCTGAACCTGGTTCAGGTCTTTTAGCACATAAACGGAGTTCTTCCTCTTCACTGTTTATGCTTGTTTATCTGTAACCTTCGGATTTGTTGGGTTTTCCAATGTTTAACTTATAAAAATCTTGACTGTAATATTTAAATTACTTAGATAAATTCACATATGAAAAAACACTGTAGGGTCTTAACCCTAATATTTAAACTCATGAGGTAAATTCTGATTTCTTTACCCAAAAAGCTGCTGTTTTAGGTGTGCTATTTAAATAACACTGACTTTACTCAACTATCACCACTATCTGGTCAAATATGTAACTTGTCCAACACTGGAAAACTAATGTTAGCAGGATAAAATGCACAAATAAAGATGAAGATGGAAAACCTGATAAAGACAAGCATGTGAGCACAATGTTTCAGTGCAGCCTCAAAGAGGTGCTGTAGTCGCTTGCTTGGTTGTTGACATATCATCCGTCCTTTGGCTAACTGGTAAATGCTATGTACTTTTAGTGCCTTTTAACCTTGGTTTGGTTCTACAAAGCACTTTACAATGTGTTGCTCATTCACCCATTTGCACACACTCACACATTAATGGCAGCAGAGCTGCCATGCAAAGTGCTCGCCCGCCACCAGGTGCAAATAAGGGTTCGGTGTCTTGCTCGAGGACGCAAGGACCTCTACCACCTCGAGCCACGGCTGCACATACATTACATTCACAAAACATTGCTGCTAAAATGTTGTAAATGAAAAGTCTGGACTTGACAGAAGGATAGATGAACACTAACATAAAAAATGAGAAATATATGGATTTACATAACAGGCTATTGGCATCTGTTGAAAGGATATACATGTAGCAGTGACAGTATAAAAGCAAGAAATTAATTTAATTATAGGCCATTATCCCACTGCATTGATGTTTCCATCTTCAGCTGAAAGGAGAACCGCAAATGGCTTTAGAAATACAGCAAAGACAAACAACACCAGCAGACTCTTCGATCTCCCCGATGCTCCAATAGAAAGGTAAAGACAGGCGAGATGAGACCTGAGACAAAGGATTAAGCAGCATTACAGCCATCAGCACACAGCTGATTCATATTCCACACGCAGTGGGATCAGCTTCAGTGTGCACACACCTAGACTGGTGCCGGCTAATAACTTACAGCTCATTGTTGAATCAGTAGACATACATATTTGAGCATTTAAACCCACCTGGCTTCTGTCTGATGTGATTCTTTCATTTCACATACACAGAGATCCTTGGGGTTGGAGACAACGGCTACTGCTTTGATTGCCTCCTCACATAACGCTTGCTTCACATTAGCTCCGTCTGGACAAAGCTTCCCCACTGTGGGCCAGACGTCCTACGCCTTATTAGGGAGTTTCTCTCTTTAAAAGCTGCTGGGTAAAGCGTCTTGTGACAACACAATCTCTGTTTCACGAGGGGTAGCTGAACCACGACCCGAGTGAGGATAAATATAGAGAGTAGGATAAATTGGGGCAGGAAGACAGAAAAGCTGATCGACTGTCAAGTTGCGAGCTGAATTCAGAGGAGGGGAGATGTTAAAGGCAGGAACTTCGCTACACTGACAAAGTTCCCAGTCACAAGGGCATAGGCCTTTGAGGAGGTATTATGTAAGTATGAAAGAGGAGGCTTCCTTGGGAATTAAATGGAAATATGCTCGAAACTTGTTCAACGGTTTCAGCGCATCCTTTCAGATGTCGATTTGAAGAAGTAAAACTTTTACAATACTAAATCGGCGGCTGTCGTGGGTTTTACTGTTAAACTTTACAAAACAAATCTGAAAGTGGTGGATATATCTTCATTTTGCCAACAACTAAGACTGAAATGTCCACATCAAACAATCAAACTGTTAAAATATATGCAAGGTATGACATATCAGCATGATTTCACTCTGGCTTGGAATTTAGTTTGATTTGTCGCTGTATCAGTGTCTATTCAATGTCAGAGTGGTTTTTAGGGAAACGCTCTTCACCAAACAGCCTCACTGAGTGTCTCCTCTCTGCCGACTATTAATATCCAAGCACTGGGTGAATAACAGTGATGTGAGTAAGCTCAACAAAAAGATGCCCAACATTTGTAGCATTTGCTCGACGTTTTCAAGAACGCAGAACCTTTTTCCGAATGTCATTAAGCGCAAAAATCCTACACCAAATATTTTGTGAAGGATAGAGGCCTCCCAAGACAGAGGCGTCCTACACATCATCAAGTCAGTGCATCTTTTCCAAGACTGAAGAAAAGACAATTCCCCAAAGAGACACCCTGGAGAACGGGGCTGCATCGCTGCTGTGTGTGCTGACACACTGAAAGCTGATTCACACTGTGTTTGATCATATCTTCGGCACCAATACAGTATGATGCAAACGAGGAGGAGAGGAATCCAGGTCATGCTCAAAGCTCTTGAGAGATTTCATATTTTGCACACACTTTTCTCACTCCATTAAAACTCTCACTTTTTTATTCCCTTTTTGTGTTGCGTTGCATTATTGCTGAGCGTTTTCCTTCCGCACGCTGCCTGTATCCGTTTCGGTCAAGAAGATCATTGGTAGTCACGCTAACGCTCGTGTCCTTTTTACCCCTTTCTCTGTTTGCCCTCTCAATGCCTGCTCTCTCTCTTTCTTTAATCTCCCCTTTTGCGGCTCTCCCTCCTCTCCTGTCTTTACATTTGAATCATTTTCCAACGTCTTCTCTACATTTATCCTCCCCCTCCTCGTCCCCCTTCCTCTTGTCACTTGTTAAGAGCCACTGTGCATTAATGTGAACTCACCTGAAACAATTTCAGTCACTCACCCCTCCTGTAAATAATTAAACTAGCCTTTCGACATTGAGATCACATAGAAGAATAACTCTGAGTGAGTGCAAACATGGTGGAAAAACATATAGTTTCTTTTGATAATTTGCTTAAGAGTGAGTGGAGCATGTCCCCCTCCCCCCCATTGCGATCGCTCCTCATTACTTTTTGATGAATAACTGATGAGATTCTACTGTTGTTGTTGGCGGTGGCACAACATTGGTATGCAGACAGAGACAAAAGAAGACAGTTTTTTTCCCCCTTCCCATGCACTGTTGACGAACAGTTTGTCTGCACTTAATGAATCACGCAGCGATCATTTAATTTTGATTGGGCGCGCGGCTGTATGAGTTGCTGTTCATGGACCTCTGAGTGACTCAGAGAAAATGGAGTCATGCCCAGCTAATAAGAAATGAGCTACGCACAGAGTGATGGCAGCACTAAAATGCATTTGTCCTCTGCTGCCATTAATGTCAAATCTCACAGAGAAATGATGGTGTTTATTAAGAGCGAATGTGCTAAGACAGGAAGTATGTGTGTGTTTGTGCATGCACGTGTTAGTGATTCTTAGCGGTCGAGAAAACACTCGGTGGCATTAGTACTCCCCGGCTGACTTCACACAGTACCTCCATTAAATCACAGCATGAGCCCAAACTTAAGAGGTCAACGGTGACAAGACTGGCTGAGGTATAATTTTCTGCAGACATCTACAGGTTCACATCGGGACACCGGAGTGCAAACACTACTCTAAGATTTGTCAGGAAATCGAAGCGGGTGAGCTGTGACACATTACTCGCTTCTGACAAGTCAAATAAAGCTTCCACTTCCAAGATATATGCCATTTGACAGATAATCTTATCTGATTTGACTGGGGAGCATAAATTTCTTGTATGGGTGGTGCCAGTGGGAATTAAACTGTTGAGTGTTGCAACAGCAATTCATCCTAAAAATCATATTCACCACAGTGAGATTAATTCAAAACCGGAGTTGAAGAAAGAACCTCAGTTGAGACAACGACCTTGAAGAGGCACAAAATCTGAATTTATGACACGGTAAAAGCATTGCATTAGGCTGTTAGCACCTTGAAAATAGAGGGGGGTACTACACAAGCCCTTTAGTTGTGGCTTTGCCCACAGTAAAGTGGTCATTTCAATGTTTGGAGGAGTTGTCTGAATTACATAACTACCCTTTTAAATGGTCTGAAAGTGGATGGTTGCTGAGAGCTACTCCAGCTCATCCTTTGTTCTTGAGTCATGTTTTGAGTCACATTGTCTGGAGTGCTACCATCTGCAAAGGAACAGGTCACTGGGATCTTAACTGGTATCTAGGATTTTAATTTTCAAGGCACCGCGCTGCATGAGTTGCTGAACTGAAGGTCAAATGACATAAGATTATTCTGACACATTTATGCCATTATTAATGTCCTAGTGTAGTTTTTTTTTCACCTTATAAATTGTAAGAAAATGCCGACCTTTTATGAACACTTGATAAGAAACTAAGAATTCCCTCCCAATGTTGAGACTCAATATTTGATCTGTAGTTGGTGAAGGAACAGACAGAATTGAGTCGTATTTTACAGCCGGCACAGTTGTGGTCATGATCCAGCAGGAGGGAGTGAATATATATATATATATTTAAAAAGGCTTTAACTAAAATCTAGGGTAGCTTCAGTCATCTGGAAAGAGAGCTCAATTCCAGCAACTTGCTGAGGTTTTAGTCTCATGCATATTTCCACCCAGCTGAAGTTCTCCTCATTAAGAGTCTACAGCAGCTCTGAGGCTGCTATCTTGTATTTGACCCTTGCCTCTGACTACCATGACACCAGACGACAAACAAGACTACTCTTCAAAGGATATTAACTGAGAATCTAACATCACTTCTTAACTTTTTGAGTCGCAGTTAAGTTAACTAAACACAATGACATTGGGATGTGTTGCATACCTCAACCTGCTGACAGATCTGGATGAGCTTGGCCATTTGGTTCTCCAGTTCACTGTTCCTCTTCACCAGGTTGGTCAGGTTGTTCTCCAGAGTTTGCTGTTTGGAGGAAGCAGGAGGAAGGAGGAGGAACAAAGGGCAGAGGAGGAAGACCAGGAACAAGGATACAAGATTAGAATACACAGTGACAGAAAGGTGTGGATAGTTAAAATACCATTATGGTAACCTTGCTGTGTATATAAACTGTGAACAGACACTGTTGACAAACTCGTTCAATATTATAATTTCTTAATATGCTTTTTTTTTGTTTGTTTTTCATTGAACAAATAAAAATATATCAGTTCTTCATACAAATCTGCAAAGAAGGTTCGAGGGTTTCTGACATTTGTAACCATACATGATGTCTTTAGTGTAATAATGTTGCTGAGGTTAGTGCCATCAGAGCCCTGTCATCAACATAATAACTACTACTTCATGTTGTGTACAGATGTTAGGTCTCACGGATGGAGGTTTCATCATTGCCACACATGCATCTTTTGAGTGGTCAACTAAACACATAAAATGATATGGGTGACACTAAATAAATGGTAACTATGAAGACGTGCGTTTTTGTGACACTAAAAGGAAATGTTTCTGTATTGTTTTACTGCTTTGCCCTCTGTTGTTCCATACTGATCCTCTACATTTGAACATCAATTCAAGGTATTGCTTTATAACATGTAAAATCCATGAAAACAAACTTCTTCATGCACTTTTAACTGCTGCTGTTTGGCAAGTAGTCAGTTGAAATTAGCTCAGTTAATAGGCCCAAATGCTGCAAAGGTCTGTGAGACAGAAAGTTGCAAAATCCCAGGTAAAAAAAATAATGCAGATTGGGTGTGACGAGAGAGAATATTCACCACAGTAGTTGGGCACATTGTGCTAAAAACTGACCCATAAGCTCCTCCTAACATGAAAGCATGTTGAACAATGTGGTATGAATTCTGTAATAATCGCAAGGGAAGGATAAGTCGAATAAAAGATTTTTTGTTATCAAAGGTTTTATGTGTTGAAATGCTTAGAATGTCTCATAATAATTTGGAGAGATTTTGCCCAGAATCCTGAAATTACTTTTATAGTCGAGTAAAGGTAAATATTATAGTAAATGTAATACCTGCAGCGACATATCAATACCTTGAAGTCAGCATTTGAAACAAAGTATGCATGGTGCTGCTAAAATAGCAAATTTACAATTCAATCCCATATTGTTATTTAATATACTTTCACCAGCTACAAATGCTTAAATTCCAGTTTTATCTCCTAACAAACTGTCTGTGATGTGTGGATTTAACTGTCTAGTCTGTCTTTACTTTAAAGACGTGAAAACAAAGCATGCGATCCCAGACAAATTAAACCTCCGCTGGCAATTTTAATGATCAAACATTCAATTATTACCCCTTAACTGTGGCGGTTTGTCGGATGCAAAACAAAAGATACGCGCGCACATAAATAAACTCACTCAAACACATATACAGTGCAAAAGATGAAAATGGAAACAAGCAAATGGGAAGCCAGAAATAGAACTACCATTCAAAAGGAAGCAAATCAATGATGGTGGCATCAAAACAACAACATTCGCAGCTGCAAAGTGAACAGCAGAACAAAGCAGCAGACAAGCGGCGGGTGTTTGAAGTATCGCTACTCATGCAAGTGAAGGGGAGGTGGGCTGGACGAGCACCTGGCCACGAGTCTGACTGTGCCTCTGTCTGTCTGTCCTGTCTATCAGGCATCCCCCGTGCTTTCCAGTATCTCCCCTACCTGTCGCTCAGCCTGATTTACTCTGTCTCCCTGTTGTCTGTTTGACTTTGCACCCACTTAATTATTTATCTGCTTGCTTATCTGCCTTCCTGCATCCCTTCCTTATCCGTCCAGGTGTCTACCTGTGTGCGTGTCTGTCCCTCTGCATCCCAGCAGCAGGAACAGAGGGGGGAGGTAGGGAAGGGGGAGGGAGGGGAGGGGAGGTTGGTAAAAGGCAGCCAGGGAACTCACCGCAGCGCTTGTCTTTGAAGCCTCCATTACCGCATCTGACACTCTGCCCGGGCTCACCTGATAAGCCTACGAACACACACACATACACCTACATAAGTGCACACAGAAACACACGTACACACATGCACGCACAGACAAGCCTGGTCGCACAAACGGCTGCCGCCTAAAACGCGCAGCAACTGAAGAGGAGAGCTCCTTCCGGATAAAGTTGCCACAAACACTTTTCCAGTGTTTTTTTTATACACGGTCTTGAATGCAGATGAGACAGTATGGATCACAGCGGCTGCTGATATTTACTTTCCTGAAAGTAGTGCTGGAGTTGCATCAGTGGAACGAGCGTTTGGCTGTTGTGTCGCAGCCCTCTGTGTGTGTGTTTGTGTGTGTTTGTGTATAAGGGAGTTTGAAGTGGAACATCAGTGAGTGGGGACAGATGGGTCATTAATTAGCAAGCTGGAGACGAAGATGATTAATACATCAGAATACAGCTGCCCCCACTGAGACTGCAGTGAAACAAACTCCTCTGTCCTCTACATACATGCATGTGTGTGTGTGTGTCTGCCTGTGTTTTATGTGTGTAACTCAGTAGGTATCCGTATATAATATTTATAACACAGTTGAGCATGCATATTGTCAGAGAAGCGTTTATGTGTGTGTGTATGCAGATGATGTTAGTTGCTACTTTGCAGGGTGAATAAATTATCATGTGCGTCTGTGCAAGCGTAGAAGTGACCACACAAAGTCTGTTGTCTGCGTGCGTAGACATGGTTCTGTCTGACTTGTGTTGGCACTCCTGAGGCCTCGGCCTCAGAGGCAGGACGAGTGGCAGAGCAAAGGAGAGAGATAGAGAGAGAGAGAGAGAGAGAGGGGGAAGGAGGCAGAGCAACTGTCAACAACAAACTCATTAAAACACACAACAGACATCAAAGATAGCTTGAACCACTCCGAGATGTCGAGCTGGAGCAGAGAAAAACATAAATGGAAAGAGGGAAAACATGGATAAAGGGAGGGATGGAGGTGGAAAAGGGTGGGACGGGCGGGGGAAGTTGTCAGCGAGGGTTAGATGGATGGTGATATGCAGGAAGTGGCAAAAAGAAAGGTCAACCCAAACCAGGATGACATTTGTATATCGTATGATGGCTTATTCAGTCAGATTCAGAGTGATTTATTATATATTTATTACGCAGTAAGCGTCAGGTTCAGATATGTTGACTTTATTGAAGTAATATGCAAACACTGCATCTTTCACGCTCAGTATAAACAGCATATAGGTTAACTCCTGAAGCAGTCTCTGTCTCCTGTCACATTTTCAAGCACTGTGGTTTCTTTTTTCGCTGCAATACAAAGTCCTGCATCTCTATGGAAAGAGCACAACCATGACTAGAAGCAGAGAAAACTCAAAAATGTGTTCTGTGCAGTATAACATAGTTAGAATTCCATAAAGAGAGTTTAATTTCTTTTATTTATTTTACAGAAATTGAAAAACTGTGCAAGTTACCAATATTGAAAAAACAAACAACAACAAAAAAAGGCGGCTCTACATACTATAGATATTTCACTACTTAGATTTTTTCTATGCTTGTCTCCTCTCTGCTCTGTGTAAACACAGCCTGCAGTTCAGCCTAGTTTACCTGACAAGTTTCCGGATTTTTTGTTGCACTGTCAGCGCTTTATTTTTATCATTAAAAAAAAAAAAAAAAAAAATTAACGTGAAACATCCCAATTTAAAGTTTAGATTTGGTATGTTTCCAGCAGATTAGCACGTCACAGATGATTAGTGAAAGGGCTGTTGTCCAACAATTCATTTCTGTGTTTACAGTTGAGGCTCTGATAAATGGTGTGATTTTGGCCTTTTTAAACTTTTTTTAAAATAAAAATAATGTGCCTTTTAAATCCCCTGGTGAGTTGTGGGGTTTATGGGGTTAAAAAGCTAACAAGCTGTATTTGTTAGTTCAGTTAACTATGCAGCAGCTACACTGATCTGTCAGTAAATAGGTGTAAATATTTAATACACTACTAATCTCTTTACTCTCTGTGGTGCAACCTGTTTTTAATCAAGTGACCACGAATATCAGGAGAAGTTCAAACAGGCGTAGAGTTCATTTCTATGGCCATCCATGAGCAAGACCTCAACTATCACTTTAGTGCCATATTTTTGTGGACTTTAAATTGATGCTGTAGGCTAAAATCTATCAACTGCACCAACTGCTGTGTACATTTACTGGCATGCAAAGCAGGAATTCAAGGATATAAAAAAGGAAAATTATAGAGACAGAGAGATGGAGGAAAGCGAGTGGAGGAATATTAAGAGTGGAGAGAGGAGAAAATATAAACCCAACTTAAAGAGATGAGTGACATAACTGCCGTTCGCTTGCTCTGAGCCTGTGATGGGACTTGCTGGGGTAGGCAGCATTATTAGCATGAGGTAATATTCATTTCTGACTCAGATTTAGACATGGCACGTCAGGAGAGTGAATAGAGAGAGCGCGACAGAGATGGAGGGGGTTGATGGGATGGAAATAGGCTTGAGAGGAGAGGCTTGGCAGGGTGTAGTTCCAGTCTGGCCAACCCTCTAATTCAGTCGTCAGTCTCTTCTGCTTCTCCACTTTGCCTTATTATCTGTCTTTCTGTCATTCACGAGCTTTCTCTCTCTTTCCACTGTATGTCTTCTCTCTCTTCAACCTGACTTTCCGTCTCCTCCTTCACTCTGTCTTGTTACTTCAGTCCTTATTCTGTCCGTCTCGGCACAGTTACAAGTGCAACTCCTGACAGCCCATCGTCTTGGGTTAGATCAACACCCCCTCATATGTCATTACTGTGTTGAGGGGCTCCTGGGTCTCGTTCTTTTACAGATGATCCCCTTCTCAGATCCCTATTTATATTACAGAGGCTGGAGAGAGGGATTGTAGGAGCAAAAAAAGAAGAAAAAAAAGACACCTCTTTCTTGCAGGAGACTTGCGTATGATGGAAGGGTTTACTGAACACACATTTAACTCAGGCTGCTATCAGAGTTAAATCTCTAGTCATCACTGCTCACAGAATCTACAGTTTCTTCAAAGTACTGCCAGAAAATGAAATTACACAGAATTACATCACAAAGTACCAGAAAAGAAATAGAGGCATTTGTGTCTACAAGGTGACAATCCGAGTATTCTACAAAAAAAAAGTGTGTGTGCTGTACTTCAGTTGTAACTGTGACAGTAACTATGACAAATTAGCGAGCAGCAATTTCTGAAATTGTATACGGCTAATCCAATTACAGGGTTATGTATTACTCTTCAACCTGGAGCAGGGGCTGAACTCATTGTTACTTTGTTAGAGGGACATTAAAGCACTTTTATCTCGGGCTGAATTCAAGTCCAATAATGTAATCACATAAAAAACCACCAGACACCAAGAAAAGAGGACAAGCATTCTGGAATTATACCTATCAGACAAAACAAGGGTATGCCTTTGGGGGAACAATTTAAATGGTATTTTATGCTAAAGTGCATCTCTTGCCTAATAAGATGATACTGTCCAGTAGCTGAATGTGTGGATCGTTACGACAACCTAACAACAAAAATGCAACTGCCACCACAACAAAAATGGAACAGAATGCCCCGAGGCCAAGTATCCAACTTCAAAGTCTTTTTCTTTTAATTAATTCGGGATCGTCCCCCAACGTACAAGAGAAACAAGACACTAAGAGAGACAGAAATGAAAGCAAGAGAAAGAGGGAGAGATTAAACTTGAGAAAGAACTGAACAAGCTCACTTTACAGCTGTTGTTAACAAGAGGCTTTTCAGAGTCTGGATGTGTCAGTAACACAAGCCTTCTGGGAAACAGGGTTTTTGACTGAGGATAATATTCCATAGGGCAAAACTCTTGAGACCATCGAATTGTAGCCGGGTATAACAAACGGAGAGCTTGTTTCATAACCCACTGGCGGGAGCCCAATTAATGAGACCAGTAGGGATGCTTAAAACTAGCTAAAATGTTAACACTTGTTTGGATGTCGTTGCTTGTTGAGGACTGAGCCGTGCCATTCAAGAGTGTTCCCTCTTTATGAACATGAAGAAATAAATATGCAGCAAAAATGCCACGTTCTACAGTGAAGGTAAGCTATTAGATTCAAAGAGTTGCTGTGCAGCTCTGAATTGGATGCCAGAGATTTTTGAACTCCAAACAAACTCATGTGACCTTCAAGCTACAAGCAACTGCGTGAACATTGCAGGAATCTCAAAACAGCGGGGGGTGCAGCGATAAACGGGAGCAGAAAGCCAGAAGATGCTTACTTTCATTTATAAGCCTTATTGGGGAATTTAAATAAAGTTGAACCCAGAAAGGAAACCAGGGAAGGGTATGGAAGGACAAATCTACTGCCACAGTCAACCTCTCACGGGCCTTTGCTTTATGAATCCCATTTGCTTTTTTCCCTCAAGGCGTATTATAAGAAAAAGTCATCCTAAATGAACACAAATCCAATAGTAATTCAAGTTTTTAGCCACATGAGGGGATTAGGATCGAAAAAAAAAATTCTCTGTAGGTTTGAAAGGGAATAATGAATCGTCATGACTACTGAACAGCAGCGAGGGGGCCAGACACAAGCTGGCATTTGATTTTGTTTATAACACTCTTTGATATCCCATGGGCATGTGCATGCTTTTAGCTTCCCAAGTATTTGTTTGGATCTGTAACAGGGTGACCCAGGACTACTAAAAACAAGTAGAATGCACAGAGACAATGAAAGCGATGAAGCAAAAATAGAAATAGACTTTACATAAAGCAAAGCCATATCCCTGGTCATTTCTCAGCCTTCTGTCTCTTTGTTAGACAATTTCACATCAGATTACAGGCTGATGATACTGTGATATTTGAATGTAAAGAGATGAGGAATTTAATGCGGTGGATTAGGGGTGCCTGGGTTGAGATAAAGTGGGGTTAGTAGAAAACAGTGATATGGTTGAATGGGCTTAAAGGATCTTTCTGTTTCATTTCAATCGGCCTATACTGGATTGTTGGCGGAGCGGTGCAACTCCGTTTCATGGATTAATTCAGAGGGAGAAAAACAACACATATATGAGCGG